CAAGTATCTTTGGAGGCCAATTGTTGTAGTTTTGTAGGACAGTTCTAGTTGAACCTCTGCCTCCTTCGGATCTAGGCACATACAGACGATCAACATTAGCTTTGGGATGATGCATGCGGTAGCAAGTGAGAAGCTTTCTCGTTTTGGCGTCCATTCACTTAATTTCAGCTATGGTCCAGTTAAGGACATTAAAGCTGTATTGCACCACAGGGATAGCAAAAGTGTTTATGGCATATATTCTGTTTTTTGTGTTTAGCTCAGTATTTAGTACCAGACGTACACGCCTTTAGTACTCCTTTCTTGCCTTCTCCTTCATTTCGGGGTGTTGTATGCCATCTCCTTCGCTAATTCCTAGGTACTTATAAGCTTCATCATGCTCCAATTCCCTAATCTTTGTGACAAAATCTAAATCTATTAAGGGTGTTTCTGTAATTCTACCTTTCTTGAAAGTTACTTTTGCACATTTATCTAATCCGAAGTCTATACCTATGTCGCCACTGAAGTATTTTACAATATTGAGGAGGCCTTTCAACTCATTGTCATCTTTGGCAAAGAGTTTGAGATCATCCATGTAGAGTAGGTGATTGAATATTTTCTTATTTATTTTGTAACCATAGCTACTGTTGTTCAGTTCATGTGTAAGAGAGATTAAGGATAAACAAAACAGAAGGGGTGACAGAGAGTCTCCTTGAAAGATTCCACGTCGTATATTCAGACGGTTGGATATGGCAGTGCCCCCGGTGTGACTAAGGTATAGTTTGGTGTTCCACATTCCCATTCTATGCTTAAGGAAATTTAATACCACAGGGGAGACTTTATACATTTCCAAAGTCTTAAGGATCCAAGAATGTGGAACACTATCAAAGACTTTACAATAAGCAATCCACGCTGCGCGAAGATTTCTACGTCGTCTCCTGCAATTTTCCAGGATCATTTTATTTATCAGTAGTTGATCTTTGCAGCCATATGAACCACTGATGCGTAAAGGGTTTGTCTACATCAGCTTCTTTGGTACGGCAAGGGTATTGACTATGAAGAGGTTTATCTTGCCATCGTTTCTGCTTTTGGTCGATTCCATTTACTTTTGCTTTCTTTTTTAGGTTCCTTGCTGTTGCGGACGGTCTATTATGGTTTATTTGCACGTCTTCACCCACTTGAAATTGCCTTTTGAATTTGTTGGCTTCCTTTATTACTGAAGAAAGTTTGTTAAACGCCTCGCCCATAACTACTTTAGGTATTTAGACGAATGTTCAGATGAGGACCCGTTCTTTAGTTCCACCAATTTAGGCTTTTATAGCTTGGACACGCCATGCTACTTGCACGGATTCGAATCAGCCTCATTTCCTCCATATTCCAAATGTAAAGAGAAAGTTTCTCTTAGACAGATTCCCCCCACAAGAAATGCTAATTTCTGGGAGAGTTTCCTTCGTGAATGTTTCCTTGAAAATCGCTATCTTAACCTTTTCAAGTCAAAGGTCATTTGTTATCCATCCCTCTTATCTTCGTAATCTTTACTTCCTACCATGTTTTCTTTCAATCATATAACGCATCTCATTCATAAAAAATTTAACATTTACTATCTAGCTTAAGTGACTCTCGAGGCTTGTACTGGGTGGACTTTAGCATAAAAATTCGGTAGCAAAAAGTACCTGTTACGCCTATAGTTAACCTTGAAAAAGAGCAATAAAAGTTACTTATTAACATCGTTATTACCAACATTCTTATTAGTATGATAGATCTTTGAAAACACCACACTGTGTATCTGGGCTTGTTTGATGTATGCAACAATTGTCTAGAATGAGGTGAGACAATCAAAGGAAGATAGCGAGCCATAGTACTTTTTAGCCCAACGAAATACAATTGTTTCAAATAGAAACAAATTCAATCGTAAATATTCAATGAGTTGATAGTAACGGGTAGAGAGAGAAAGAAATTATTCGAATCACGTAATAATTATTGAATGAAATGTGAAATTACATTTTCCCCAAACTGTGGATGTCTGCCATTCGTGCTTTATATAAGAGACTTCAGCCGAATGAACATGGCAAGGAAACTTTCTAGTTAGTAACATTCCATGAATTTACGATACAGAATAAAGGTCAACGAACACAGTTTATTTTCATGTTTTTTTGTTTTTTTTTTTTTACACCTGCTCTCTTGGGATTATTATTTATTTTTCTTTTCTTTGTCACGAGAACGTTCTTGAATCTGGCAGCAAATCCTAAAGAAGTTTTATGTTGACTTATTTTATATTTTTAATGTTCTTGTAAAATCGATCATCATCACGGATGAAGTGGAAAACAGAAATGGGGTTCTACAGAAGGATGCTGAGAAAACAGAGCCGCTAGAACTGGCGATCTCACCTGTATCAGAGGAAACACGGTAGTAGAATCTTTACTGTATTCAGAACTGATTGATGGATTTGTATATTTAACGCCATATCGACACCTTCATGTGTCATTTAATGCTGAAATTTTAATTTTATTGGGAGTATAAAAGTAATCAGTCAGTTATGTACCATACGTGATACAAGCTTAGGCGGTCATGTATATTTCGATACATGACTGACGAGGCATATTTTTTCCCGCAGTTGGTTGCCATTTCTTTCTGCGGTAGACAAGTTGCCATTCAAGGCCTGTCCTGCTATTTAACGATAGCTAAGGGGGGAAGAAAAGACTTTGGGGAAAACAGAAATGGCCTTCTACAGAAGGGTGCTGAGAAAACAGAGCCTCTAGAACTGGCGACCTCATCTGTATCAGAGGACACAGAGTAGTAGAATCTTTACTGTATTCAGAACTGATTGATAGATTTGTATATTTAACGCCATATCAACACCTTCATGGGTCATTTAATGCCGAAATTTAATTTTATCAGGAGTATAAAAGTAATTCAAATATGATATATGTTATTCTGCTTTCACAATTGAATACATGGTAGATGATACTCATCTTTTGTTAATATACATGTTTGTGTGGACATAATTACTAGAGACGGTGATATATGTGTGTTTTATGATATATGTTATTCTGATTTCACAATTGAATACATGGTAGATGATACTCAGCTTTTATGCATATACATGTTTATGTGGTCATGATTAATAGAGGCGGTGATATGTGTCATTTATGTTGTAGATTTGTTAAATACAGTTTGAAGAATTTAAAGCATATTATATGGATTAATGCCATGGAAGAGTTCTTTTATGTTGATTGTTTGGTTGATTTTGTTATGCGGCATATCAGCCCCAATACCGAAATGTAAATAATTTGAACAATTTCAAGGCCTCAGCGAAATACATTTTAAACGCAATTGTATCCCTACAACTACAGATAAAATGCATTACTGGTTATGTTGCTTTAAAAATGTATTGTTGCTAATTTTACTACAAATATTTATTGTTATAATTTTTTTTTTTTGTTTTAAATAAAAATGTATTGCTGGTGTTGGGTTGGTGCATAATTATCAAGCGTTTTCTAAACAATATTTATTATGAAAAAAAGAAACATAATTCAGCAATAATATTTGTAAATGATTATTCCGAGGCGTATGTTTATCGACACGCATTTATTTTTATAACCTGAAAATAAAATAACATTTTTATTAACAAAAATGTAAACAAAACAGCATGACGATAAACTACATCCGGCAGTCCGTCCTGGGTGTGTCGATAAACTACATTCGCGTCCTGGGTAAGACGATAAACTACATCCAACAGCAAGGCCTCTGATCAGGAGGTTTTGAAGAGCGTGAAACAACCTCTTAATTGCTGGTGTTCCCAGGTCCACTCTGACCCGGGGTGGTAACACCTGTTAGGGTCCCAGCTATGGACAAATAGTTAACCCCAAAACGGTAGTAAAAAGCATTATGAAAGTGTAAAAATAGGTTTAATGCCAGAAATACTTTGTAAAAAATTATTACCAGAAGTAAGTTTTGGAAGAAAAAAATCTATTACTAGCAATATATTTTTGAAAAAAAAATATTACCAGCAATACATGTTTCAAAATAATATTACCAGCTATACATTTTTGAGGAAAATATTACCAGAAATAGATTTTAGACAAAACAAAATATTACCTAAAAATGTCGGCATTAAATAACCCATTGATGTTGATATGCCGTAAAACAAAATAAACCAAATCAATCTAAACCAAAGAATACGTATTCTATTCAACAACAGCAATTAATAGGTGGTTCCATGTTCGTCAAATACTCCTGTCTCCCGATTCGAGGCTTTGCCGCTAATATGTCGTTTATTGTCATGTAAAGGCAACAACAGCAATTAATAGGTGGTTCAATGTTCGTCAAATACTCCTGTCTCCCGATTCGAGCCCTTACTGCTAATATGTCGTTTATTGTCATGTCCAGGCAAATCTCTAGTATATATCTACGCAGATGATACAACAGTATATGAGTGCACCTACAAAAATTTACAAGTCTATTTCCGTTCTTCCACTTGCAAAAGCAGTTGTAGATATAAGATCACGTACTTTTGCATTCGCTTGTCAGGATAAAAACCAAGTCATTCTAGAACCTGGCTTCCTTTGACAGCCCCGTGTGATATTGGAGTGCAATTAATACCAATTGTTTTTTTTTTGCACCCCTTCGGCTTTAGTCATGATTCATTTTCAGCACCCCACTTTGTACGAATTTGGGTTAATCCCTTGAAACTCGCCTTCCGTAAAGGATCTCTGTATAACAATTTCGAGCCGTTATGCAATATGCCACCTCCCCATCCAAGCTTAAAGCATCTGGTATTGCCAAATGGTCAACCATCGGGTTCAACGTTGCTTAACTTCGCGGACCGTACGAGAACCGACGTTTCAACGTGGTATGGCCGTAAGACATACAACCTGCACATCTAAGCTTATAGCACCTGGTATTCCCAAGCGGTCACCCATCTAGGTACTAATCGGGCTCGACGTTGCTTAACTTCGCGGACCGTACGAGAACCGACGTTTCAACGAGGTATGCCGGTAAGACATACAACCTGCACATCCAAGCTTACAGCACCTGGTATTCCCAAGCGGTCACCCATCTAGGTACTAATCGGGTTCGACGTTGCTTAACTTCGCTGACCGTACGAGAACCGGTGTTTCAACGTGGTATGCTGGTAAGACATACAGCCTGCACATCCAAGCTTACAGCACCTGATATTCCAAAGCGGTCACCCATCTAGATACTAACCAGGATCAACGTTGCTTAACTTCGCTGACCGTTCGAGAATCGACGTTTCAACGTGGTATACCGGTAAGACATACAACCTGCACATTCATGCTTACATCACCTGATATTCCAAAGCGGTCATCCGTACAGACTAGGGATCCATACAAGATACAGTGTAACTGTATGAACAAAAGAGGAAGCAATAATTCCAGTTTATCTAGACGGAATTAATGGGTAACTGTAGATTTGGAGGAATTAATATTGTAGAGATAAAAAGAATGTCCTGCCGGTATTTTGTTTCACAAAACATCACTTTTTGGCAAGAAAGCTGTCTATGTGGAACTTGCTCCTTACTAATGTAATACGAATGGAAGTAGAGTCATCCTCGAGAATGTGTCATGGCGGGTCCCAGCTGCAAATGTCATAACTGGTTAAACTAAGAAATGTAACTCCTCAGAACACTTGCCATGGAAATAGCGATAGATTCCCGCTTATCCTTAGCAATAGATCCTATATATGAGTTCAGTGATAAGCTTATGTTCCTATAGGCGTTTAGTCTCACGTAAAGTCAAGTGAAACCTTTGTATATTGTTTTGATTGCATTAAATTCCTTGTGCAGACCTAGGAAGATGCTTTTCAGCACATGGAAGAACAAATACTAAAAAAAAAAACAATAAAAAAAAGAAGTCGGTGTCCTTCCCAGACATTCTCCAGGAAGATCTTCCAAAAGACGTGAGAACATCGCCTTAAATGTTCCCCTGCGAAGGGAAAACGATTATAATACAAGCATATTCTCTAACCAGAATGTTTTCCCTTATGGAAATAGGTTTAGCGATACACCTACGCATAAGTAGTTATTTTCGAAATGGAAAAGAAGGTAAATAAAAAAATTAAAAAAAAAGATGAATCGAGAAAGAAAAGCCGAAGTGGTGAATGAATTGAAGATTTTTTTAAGAATTCGTATTAAGCAAAATGTTGCTTTTTTTTTTTTTTTTCGAAGAAAAGCATAAATGTTGTTCAAGAAAATGGCGGCAGATTCTGCACTGGGGATTTTTACAGAACAAATTTTCCTTCAGAGAAACCTGACCCTTTTTTTTTCAATTTTGATTTTATTCTATCGTTGCTTGTTCCGTTTAAACCTTTTTGAATTCTTTCTTCTTTTTATACCCCATTCTTTATAATGCTTATCAATTGTTTTTTTTTTCTTTTGTCCTTTCGACATTACATCTTCCATAAATTAATTTTACTTTCTCTTCGCAACCACTAATGTGTCTTATTCGTCTCATTAAATGTTTTCTTTCTTATTTCTTCGACTTTTTTCTTTTATTTCAATCTCGAATGTTTATCAACCTTCACTTCTTCTGTTTTTCTTATTTTTTTCTTACCTTGTTCTCCTTTTTTAATTCATATTTCTTTTTCATTTTGTTCCAATTGAGACTCTTCTCCTTTTTCTTTTCTCTTCTCATTTTGACATCTTTTGCCTCTTTTATTAAATTTTCGTTTACATTTTTTTAAGCCGAGTAAGGAAGACTTTGGTTTTGTTCACCAATATATATATATATATATATATGTATATGTGTGTGTGCATTGTTCTTCATTTTAAATTTACCTTCCAATTAGTTTTTATTTCTTTATTTTAGTTTTAGTCTTTTGTTTTAAAAACTTTGTTGACTGAAGGAATTGCGCATTCCCAGTCCGCTTACGCGTCCCTCCGTTTATTTCATCTGGAAATTGGAGGAAGTTGAGCATTGAATTAAAAAATAAGTAAATGAAAAAGCAAATATGGAGATTGTCACGGGTTGGGGTGGGGGTGGTAGAAAGATTAAGTAAAAGTGACTAAAAAAAAAGAGATGGTAAAATAAGAAAAATATACAGTAAAAGAAGCTGAATTGAAACAAGGAGAAAAAGTTGATGATGAAGTCAGAACGAAAATAATAATAAAAAAAACAGAAGAGACTAAATAATGAAAAATACCAAAAACAGAAGAAGTGGAGGGCTATAAACATTCGAGATAGAAATGAATGAAGAATTAAAAGATTTAACAACACGAATACGATGACTTTTGACGGTCACAAAGTGGAATTAAAATTAACCAAGTTCGGAAAAAACGAAGAATAAAGGAAGCGCGTGTTTCTCTGACGGTCAACCGCGTGAAAAATCGTAGTATTTTGACGAGTTGAAATAGTGTAATGCCTAGTGTAATGCTTTCACATTATTGCCCTCAGGAAAGGGATGGATCGATTACTTCTTTAAGGCATCGACTGAGCGCTCCTGTCTTGTTTGGCAGAGATTTAGGAGAAGGACTATCAAAATTTGAAACTACTCCATTACCTTCCGAAAAAGATACAGTAGTCCACACATTGTGAAGAAAAACGGATAGGTGTGTATATCAATGATCGCCTATGGCCAACATGTAAATAAATGACGAAATCATATCCTGGCATCTAAATAAATGATCAAGAGAGAATAAAAAAATATTAAACACAAGATATAAGCAAAGAAAAAATAAAGTACAAGAAGAGCAGGCATGAAATGAAAAAGAAAAGATAAGAAATTTCAACCAAGAAGAAAGAAAGAAAGAAAGAAAGAAAGAAAGAATGAGAATGACATACGGAGCGAAGAAGAAAGAAAAAAAAAGGCAGAAGAAGACCTGATCAAAGAAGAAGAAGAAAAAGAAGTGAACGAGAGAAGATTATATCGAAAAAAAAAAAAAGAATGGATGAAAGAAGAAAAGAAAAAGAAAGTCCGATCGATGATGATGATGATGATGAAGAAGAAGAAAAAGAAGAAGAAGAAGAAGAAGAAGAAGAAGAAGAAGAAATAATGAACGAACGACGATTGTATCGAAAAAAAAAATGGATGAAAGAAGAAAAGAAAAAGAAAGTCCGATCGATGAAGAAGAAAACGAAAAAGAAGAAGAAGAAGAAGAAGAAGAATGAACGAACGACGATTGTATCGAAGATAAAATGGATGAAAGAAGAAAAGAAAAGAAAAGTCCGATCGATGAAGAAGAAAAGGAAGAAGAAGAAGAAGAAGAAGAAGAAATAATGAACGAACGACGATTGTATCGAAGATAAAAAATGGATGAAAGAAGAAAAGAAAAGAAAGTCCGATCGATGAAGAAGAAAAACGAAGAAGAAGAAGAAGAAGAAGAAATAATGAACGAACGACGATTGTATCGAAGATAAAAATGGATGAAAGAAGAAAAGAAAAAGAAAGTCCGATCGATGAAGAAGAAAACGAAGAAGAAGAAGAAGAAGAAGAAGTAATGAACGAACGACGATTGTATCGAAGATAAAAATGGATGAAAGAAGAAAAGAAAAAGAAAGACCGATCGATGAAGAAGAAAACGAAGAAGAAGAAGAAGAAGAAGAAGAAATAATGAACGAACGACGATTGTATCGAAGATAAAAATGGATGAAAGAAGAAAAAGAAAAGAAAGTCCGATCGATGAAGAAGAAAAAAAGAAGAAGAAGAAGAAGAAGAAGAAATAATGAACGAACGACGATTGTATCGAAGATAAAAAATGGATGAAAGAAAAAAAAAGAAAGTCCGATCGATGAAGAAGAAAACGAAGAAGAAGAAGAAGAAGAAGAAGAAGAAATAATGAACGAACGACGATTGTATCGAAGATAAAAATGGATGAAAGAAGAAAAGAAAAAGAAAGTCCGATCGATGAAGAAGAAAACGAAGAAGAAGAAGAAGAAGAAGAAGAAATAATGAACGAACGACGATTGTATCGAAGATAAAAAAACGATGAAAGAAGAAAAGAAAAGAAAGTCCGATCGATGAAGAAGAAAACGAAGAAGAAGAAGAAGAAGAAGAAATAATGAACGAACGACGATTGTATCGAAGATAAAAAATGGATGAAAGAAAAAAGAAAAAGAAAGTCCGATCGATGAAGAAGAAAAACGAAGAAGAAGAAGAAGAAGAAGAAGAAGAAGAAGAAATAATAAACGAACGACGATTGTATCGAAGATAAAAAATAGATGAAAGAAGAAAAGAAAAGAAAGTCCGATTGAAGAAGAAAACGAAGAAGAAGAAGAAGAAGAAGAAGAAATAATGAACGAACGACGATTGTATCGAAGATAAAAATGGATGAAAGAAGAAAAGAAAAAGAAAGTCCGATCGATGAAGAAGAAAACGAAGAAGAAGAAGAAGAAGAAGAAATAATGAACGAACGACGATTGTATCGAAGATAAAAATGGATGAAAGAAGAAAAGAAAAAGAAAGTCCGATCGATGAAGAAGAAAACGAAGAAGAAGAAGAAGAAGAAGAAGAAGAAGAAATAATAAACGAACGACGATTGTATCGAAGATAAAAATAGATGAAAGAAGAAAAGAAAAAAAAAGTCCGATCGATGAAGAAGAAAAACGAAGAAGAAAAGAAGAAGAAGAAATAATGAACGAACGACGATTGTATCGAAGATAAAAATGGATGAAAGAAGAAAGAAAAAGAAAGTCCGATCGATGAAGAAGAAAAACGAAGAAGAAGAAGAAGAAGAAGAAGAAATAATGAACGAACGAAAATTGTATCGAAGATAAAAATGGATGAAAGAAGAAAAGAAAAGAAAGTCCAATCGATGAAGAAGAAAACGAAGAAGAAGAAGAAGAAGAAAAAAAAGAAGAAGAAGAAGAAGAAAAGAAGAAGAAGAAAAATAATGAACGAACGACGATTGTATCGAAGATAAAATGGATGAAAGAAGAAAAAAAAGAAAGTCCGATCGATGAAGAAGAAAACGAAGAAGAAGAAGAAGAAGAAGAAGAAATAATGAACGAACGACGATTGTATCGAAGATAAAAATGGATGAAAGAAGAAAAGAAAAAGAAAGTCCAATCGATGAAGAAGAAAACGAAGAAGAAGAAGAAGAAAAAAAAAGAAGAAGAAGAAGAAGAAAAAGAAGAAGAAGAAGAAGAAGAAATAATGAACGGACGACGATTGTAT